TGAGGCAATTTGTTCAGCTGCCATGCGGTTCTGTACACTTGGTTTATCCTTAACAAAATAAATAGCAGAAGGAATACATTTTAATTTTGGCATTATTAAAAAATATGGTAATTGATGGAATACATGTTAATTTTAATTCAGATTTTGGCTGATTATCAGCAGATCTATATTCCTAAAACGAAATCATTCACTTCTATTATTACGTGTCAAAGGCACTAAAGTGCTCTAATTTTACTAGACCAGCTGTCTTTCCAATGTCAAATCTCACAAGAAATGGTATGTCATTGTGGTATTATCAATAAAAATTCCTCTTCTTACCTAAATTGTTTTTTGACAGCCTCTGAGGAAGGAGTTTCCATTTTTGGTGATAACATTTAATTTGCAAGTGGAAACCCATTTATCTGTATTTGAACCATCATACTGCAATCTATTTTTTTTAGCCACCCATTCTGGGGACAGAATAGATATTTGAATAGGATATGCATTGAACAGTAGTTTTGAATTATGATTATGTTGCTTATGGTTTAGCCATCATGTTCTGTTGAATTTGTTTGATGACATCACGAGTCAAATAATCACTGTTTTCTGGTAAACTCGTTTTCCCTATCATTGCAAGTACAATATCTTGCTGTTAATTTATTTTTAGCTTTCAAACCCAGACTTTTGATCTCTATCCCTTCCCCAACCCTACCCCCCGGGGGTGCTGCTGCAATTATGTGTGTTGGTCATCGGCTTCCATTTATTCTGCGATGGTTTACCTGCCCTCCACTCTCAAAAATTTGACTTGATATTGTATCTGAACCAGTGATACTGGAAAACATTAATGCAATATTTGTTTTTGTATTCATGTTCTGAAAAACATGATATACGTCAGTTCCCAAATGTTAATTATCCAAAGCAATCTGAATAATTTTCCGTTCTCATTTTGAGACTAGGATATAATGAACTATAATATAGGTTACATGGAGTGTCTTATTTGTGCATGCTCAATTGCTTGGTGCTTTTCATACTGGAAATTATGGTAGACTGTCCTTATTGATCCCATAAACTCTGTTGTACCATCTGATTTTACCAAATCATGGTCACTGGTTAAGTGATTAGGATCAATTCAAAATTCAAAACTACCCCCGTGAAATCATTCAGTGATGTGGTTATCGTTAGCTGTCTTCAATATATATGCTGCCAACTATGTGAATTTTAATCCTAAATCCCCATCTTTTTGTCAGAAACTATTAGTTCCTTTCCCATTGTTGCAGACTACACCAAGCCACTACTATTTCTCAAATGACAACCAACAGTTTTCACTTCTACATATAAATGGAAATTACATGAGAAGATCTGGGGGCCTATTACTTCAGTCTGACATTTAGGCCTAGTATATATTATATTGAAGGGACTAGTTACAAACATTTCCTAAATGTGGGGAGAAAAGCTTACAAGGCTGCTTCTGATCAAAACAGAGCATGTCCTCATTTTTGTTGCTGTTTGGAGCAAGTATGAATTCTCCCCCAATTGCAATAATTTTCATGTACATGATGCAACAATTAGTTGATGGTAATATTGATTGCTTATAAGCACGAGGCATGGTTTCAGAGATAATTTTAAGAATTTTTATGAACAATTTTGTTTCTTGAAATTGTCCTTTTTATTTTGGGTTTGCTGATTTTCATTTTTCACACTCTAGTCTTGCAGCATATATGACAGAGGAGGAGGTCCTTCAAGGAATTAAATGTCCCCCAATTTCCGGGTAAACACACTAATAATATCTTGCAAGCTTAAATCTCTCCATTTGAAATGTTATGTGGAATAGGTTCATTTTTTATGTTCTTAAATAAAGAATACGTGATATAACAAAGGAGGTAGCTGCAGCTTTAACTCCATAATCCAGTTTGAAAATCTGGTCTCATATGTTTTGGTTGGTTTTGCCTACCTGCAGTAGTGACTTTAAAGTAATTGGATGAGCTAACAGGCATGCACCTGAGGGCTGATTATCCTGGCAAGTTTAGAGAATGACAAATGAATAAAGAGTTTCAATTTAAAAGGCGCAGATGGTGAAAACTGAAGGATGCCGCTATTTCAGAGGAAGCTGTCTTAGAATTAGGGAATATTCTTACAAGAGAACTGTTTCATAAATCTTTAAATACACGCCCCAAAGAGGTTGAAAGGGGAATGGGGTAATCCCGTGGCTAGTCAAGCCATGTAGTCCTACAATTTTTGCCTAGAGACTTTTGCTTTTCATCAACAACTAACATGCCGTTGGGTGAGAGACTCATGCTGAGGCAAGTGTTGTGGAACTTCAGTTTTGTCCCAATTATATCTACAGGTCTCAGTTTCTGCTGGGGAGGTATCAAGAACTAAGATGCATGTCTCAGAGCTTTGGTGACAGTGGCCTCTGTTCGGGTAATATCCATACTAACAGACTGCTTGAAGTTGTAAGCGTATGTTTGTTTGAGGGACAACGAAAGTAACTGCAGCTGGAAATTTTTCTAAATATTTATCTGCAAAAGAGAGCATTATTTTCAAGAAACTTTTGTCTGTTTTGTGCAAAAGCAAAATGAAAAAGCACTTCCCTTTTCATGAAAGTTTATGCTATTCATATTCTCGTGTTATCTGCTCTACGTCCACTAAACTTTTTCAATGTTGAGACTAGAGCCTTAGATACTACCAAGGAATCAGAGAATACCTCCACTAAAAATTTTCAATATATTTCATGCCTAGTTGAAAATTTTGGAAAATGAAAATGATGTCAATGTGTTCCTGATATTGCGTGCTGCACTCTATCTGCTCCATCCCTTCCTGCTGAGGGGAATCTTCCTTTTAGTTGTAATTCTCTGCATGCGGCAACCCATTTGAGGAGTGGCCAAACTTCTATTAAATTGTAATGCCTCAGCCTTGTTTTGCTCCACAGGGGTACCTTGATCCCTGATCCTATGGCTAAAATATCCTCAAGGTGCCTAAAAGAAAGGCTATGGTTGTGCTTGTGTTCATTTTAAGGCTTGGAATGTGTGGATATGGAGTATGTCAACCAGATAAAACCATCTTTCTCTATGGTAATTAATGAATATTTGAGGTCTGGACTCCTTCCGGCTTGTTTTTTATAGGATTATCCGAAAAAGTGTTCTTCGGGATCTCTGAGGTTTCTACTCTCGCATATGTGATGTTTATTTCTATCTAAGGTTAAGACGATAGGCCTGGATTTCCTATCTGCTCTAATTTTCCACGGATGGCAATTTCCAATTTGAGCTTTCGATGGATTATTTTCCCTGAAAAAAAGAAGAATTAAATATTAGGAAAGCTTTTGGACCACGCGAACGAGGTTATTTAATGATTTTACTCTTCTGCTTTGAGCAGTTTGTATATTTTGGGCGGCACTTCTACCTTTCTGCAAGAACCATTTTCTTCAGTTAAGACAGCACAGTGGCTCAGAATTGGCTTCTAGAAATTGTCGTACCTTTTGTCTAAGCTGCCAAGCTAACATGTTTAACAAAACTACTAATTAAGATACTCTGATGAGTTCTTTATATATTTTCCTTTATATGCAGGAGGGAGGTGTCAAGTATGTGGAGCACAACAAGTGGTTTCCAGAATACACGAATTTGATTTACAAGAAGCATTGAGAACCTCTATCCCTGGTAATCTCTGCTCATCTTTAACTCATGCTCGCTATTTATTCTATGAATAAATATGATTGCTTCCGGTATACATGCCCTTGTTGCTTTGTGCCCAAAGGCTGAAGTTTGAATTTTGATGAGATGGGATTTTGTGAGCTCGTAAATTTTCCCAATGAGAGTAAACTTGTTGCCATTAGTTTTGTCCGTTACGATGGCAACCCCCACTCCCAACGGTCACGAACCACCATGTAAGTATAGGCAATTCGAATTAATACAGACCTGATGTTGAATGCTATTCATCATTTTATTTTGTAATAAAATCTATTAATGTGAAAAGGAAAAAAAAAATCCATTCCCAATGAATACAAAAAAAAAAACATAAAGGAAAAAATGTAACAAATAAAGCACATTTTAATTTTAAAGCAAGAAAACTTGTTTAAAATATTAATTTTAAAATAATTAATCAAAAAAAATTATTTTTTCATAATAAAAAAATTTCGTCCGAGCCACAACGGTCTTGCCCGATTGCTTGGTGGCAGCGTCTCAAGTATCCGGACCGTTGGGAGGGGATACGGACCGCAACATCTTGACTGGTTGTGCGGCCTGGGGCCCGTCAACTTCTAAGCGGAGAATTAAGTCCTTCAATTATGACAAATATAGAATACTTTTGCTTATATTTGCATCTCATCTTGTTTAAAAAATATAAGCTTTTCTTTTTCAACACATTAAATATTGAAAACTTAAAAAATATTAAAATGATAAATACAACCGGATCTATTTAAACTAGGTTTCCTTTTTCTAAAAATTACTGTTTAAAATATAAAAATATTTATTTTCTAAATGGAAAAATGAAATAGTGAGATTAAATGTTATTTATATTAATTAATTGTGAACATTAAAATATGAATCAAATTAAACTCTTGCTACTACCTAAGATCTTGTCATAATTCAGTCTAGTTGAAGTGAAACTGAGAACTTGAACGAAAATTAAAATTAAAAAAAAAAATATAATTTTATTTATTTTGTCACGTATATTAATCTTTTTTTTTATAAATTTAATTTTGTAAAGGCTTATATAATAAATTCTATTAATAGCTTAAATTATAATTTTTATAATTTATTTAATTTTATAGAAATGAATATTTAGCTCAGAACCTTATAATTTGGGGCAAATTAAAAGTTAACTAGAAAGCCCTTAAACCTTGAGAAAATTGGCACCCTTAAATTCCTCCAAATAAAACCAGCAAATGCCAACATGTTTTATTGTGTGATTTTGTGATAAGATTATTGAATAGCATTATTAATTAAATAATTAAGCTCACCACTTAAAAAATAGCAACAATAAAATAGAATAGACTGTTGGATCTAGATCCTTCTAAAATATATCAGATGAATGTCCTTACCAACAATATCATTCTGCATTCCTACCCAAAATAGAAAAATATGATTGAATTTATTTGGATAATCTTTTATAATCTAATGTGGGCTGGACCTTTTAAGTAATTAGCCACGGTTCACCTGCCACGCTGAACATAAAGATTTCAAAATTCAAAATTTTAAACCGTTGAAAGTTAAAAAAAAAATAAATATATGAAAAAAGAAAGGATTTCTCAGGACCCCACGACCGGAACAATCGAAAAGCGGACAAAACAACATTGCGCGCCAGGCGCACTATATCATTTGTCCACACAAGGACGACATCTCAGCGGCCGAAGTCCAAAGCCTTTCCCTTATCAACGTCCATTCAATTCGCGTTCATTGCAAGTCCACTCTCTCTCTCTAAAGCGTCTCTCTGTCATCTTCGTCTACTCCAGACCTGTTGCTCGTTCTCGTATACTCTCTAGGGTTTTGGGCTGGGTTTTGCTGGGGTTTCGAGCTGAGATCTTCTAGGGTTTCGAGGAGATGGCCACCATGGAGAGTTTGATTGGTCTGGTGAACCGAATCCAGAGGGCTTGTACTGCGCTTGGAGACTATGGAGGCGATGACTCTGCGTTTTCTTCTCTCTGGGACGCTCTTCCCTCTGTCGCCGTCGTCGGTGGACAGGTTTACGTTTCAGTCGATTCTTTCATTTGTCTTAGTGGAGAGAGGGCGAGAGGATTTTGGTAATGGTCTTCGATTCGTTTTTTAGCTGAAATTGAGGTTCTTAATGTTTTTATTGGTAGTTTTAGAGGAGATTGAGGGTTTGGCTAGGGAGAAACGGAATATCTATAGAACTGTAGGAAGACAAATATTATTTATGATGGGGAGACACAGAGAAGAAGGGCCATTTTGTAAACGAATGAGAATGATCTTATAGTGGCTGGTGATTGGGGGTATTCTTAGTCTGATATATCTTTTTGTTTTTTCTGGTTCAGAGTTCTGGAAAATCTTCGGTACTGGAGAGTATAGTTGGGAGAGATTTCCTTCCTCGAGGATCGGGTAAAGTTTTGCTAATCATGTTCTCGTTATGGATTATGCTGTCAGTAATGTGATTATTCTACCTACTTACGTTCTTTTAGTGACCACTCACGTTTACTAGTGTTGTTCATATGTCTTTTCAGGGATTGTAACAAGGAGGCCTTTGGTGCTGCAACTGTATAAAATAGAGGACGGCCAGGAGTACGCCGAGTTTTCTCATCTACCTCGGAGGAAATTCACTGATTTCTGTAAGTTACTTCTGGCGTTGAGTGATTTATTGTTGACATAAGCTTGTAGGTCATTGGATTGAAAATTGGCGGGAACTTAGAACCTTTCAGCCCTTACGTTAATTATTATATTTCAGGCAATTAAAGTTTTCTGTCGCAATTTCTATATGCTTTAATCAGTTGGAAATAATTCGAAAGATAATTGATAATTTTAAAGATGAATTAATGTCAACTTGGTGGTCGGTACCACCAATAATGCCATTGCTCAATCTTCCGGGATTAGAGGTCTCACAGACTTGTGGAATTTGAAGGGAAGTAAAAGGGTAGGCCTTGCTTACTCGATTTCTTCTCCTTTATCCTATCCTCAGATGATTGAACTATTATGCCGGTTAAAAGTTCTGGGTGAATGATCAAGCAAGCAGAATTTATTATCATGTATCTTTCTTTCTTCTTAACACATCTTATATATGCTGATCTAGTGTAAAAATAAAACAACCAGTTTATTCTTGAGACGTAGTTGTACTTGGTTCTTGTTGCCTATCTTAAGTTACCCTTTTCCTGCCATGTCTAATTGATAATGCATAGTTGTCCTAAGTTGGTACGTTATTTATTGAGTATGTAATTTCTTCCTGTTTGGCATCCCATTTCTCTCTCTTGCCTCACCCCCAAGTTAACATTGTTGTGCTGTTTTATGTATAATCTGATATAATCTGATTCTTTTGCAGCCATGGTCCGCAAGGAAATTCAGGATGAAACTGATAGGGTAACGGAAAGACCAAACAGATTTCTCCTATTCCAATCCATCTTAGTATATACTCTCCACATGGTGGGTTCTCTTTGCCTTTCTTTTTTCCAGGAGAAACTTTAACTAGAAATTGTTTAAGAGGAAACATGCAATGGCTGTGCAGCTGATGTGCGTCTATATTCTATGCATGTATATGTACATCATAGGGTAAGCATTCTGCTGTGCCTCTATGCATTTCAGATAATGTTGATCAATGTATTGTTGAAGGATTATTGTAATTATCTACAGGTTCAGTTATTTTAAGAGCTAGATTGACATATGTATTTTTATTTCTACGTGGAGAACTTCATATGTAGGATGAGATTTGTTGGATCTTTAGTCATGTGAATGAATTTGAGAGTTGGATTATCAAGTTTTGAATATTTATTAGGTGTTTCAAGTTATTTTCTTGTCTTGCTTTATGCCCGTACTTGTGAGTCCAAAAGGATGTTGGATATGAACATGCAGTGTTCAGCAATTGTAAAAATTTATAGTCTTGCATTGGAACGTCAAATTCGCGTTGCCTTTATTTATTTATTTGTTATTTTTGCAACTAATTTCCTTGGAGGCCCTTTATTAAAATTGTTTGTTGCAGAAATTCTACTTGTACCAACCTTTTGAATTATGCTTCGAAAACAAGAAATGTTCTTTCCTAAATATCTTATTTTCATCAGTGTTGTCTTCTTTTATAACCAACTTATGATAGACTCATTTTTGTTTTTCTACCCTAAATGATAACCCTCTTTCTTGTTCTCTCCTTAGCTATCTATCATTACTTCACCACTTACAGACAAGCTTTAAGTATGCTAACCCCTTTTTGGTTTTTTCCTCTGGCAGTTGTAAACTTAACTTTAATCGATCTGCCTGGTCTGACGAAAGTTGCAGTTGGTATGTTTCGGACTATACATATATTACATATATTTCATTGTAAACGTGGACTTTATTTATGAAAAAAGATATTTGTGCTCTGCAGAAGGACAACCTGAGAGTATTGTTCAAGAGATAGAGAACATGGTGCGATCTTACATTGAAAAGGTAACAATTGGCTATGATTTGTTATTGAATAGAGTGATTCTACGCTTGCTGATGGTTACTTTATTCCCTTCAATAGAACTGTGACCAATGGCCATATTAGGCTAAGTTTCAGATTTCCTAGTTTTAGCTTTTTCTTTTTCAACTATTGATTGAATATACCTTTTATGCAGCCTAACTGCATCATTTTGGCAATATCTCCAGCCAATCAAGACATAGCAACATCGGATGCTATCAAACTTGCAAGGGAGGTGGATCCAACTGGTATGCCCTGAATATAGCTATAATTTGAAATTTTTGATCAAATACTCTCAATTTCATGGCATTTGACTTAAGGAATCTTCTTTCCTACTTGTTAGGTGACCGGACCTTTGGTGTTTTGACCAAGTTAGATTTGATGGACAAAGGAACTAATGCATTGGATGTAGGCTCTGCTCTCCTCTGCTCCTCTGTGTGTGAGTGGGCGGGTGGGCGTGTGTGTGTGTGTGTGAATGAACTAATGCATATGCTCGGCTCGGCTCGGCTCGGCTCGGCTCTCTCTTTCCTCCCTCTCGGTCTCTATCTCTCTCCCTATATTATATATATATATATATATATATAAGAGAGAGAGAGAGAGAGAGAGAGAGAGAGAGCAGAACCTATGCATTAGTTCTCACACACGTGCCCACACGTGTGTGTGTGTGTTTGTTGTTATGAGAAGTTATAGTATATTGTGCTATGGATCAGGCCCATAATACAAGACTTGCTGTTATCAATTTCTTCTTTCTTCCTATGCATTATCTTTGAATTCAGATAAAACATTATTCACCATTATATATTCTTTCATTTCTTAATTTCCACTTCTCTATAGGTTCTTGAAGGGAGGGCCTATCGTCTACAACATCCCTGGGTTGGAATTGTGAATCGATCTCAAGCTGATATAATTAAAAATGTTGATATGGTTGTAGCAAGGCGGAAGGAACGTGAATACTTTGCTACAAGTCCTGACTATGGACACTTGGCAAGTAAAATGGGTTCAGAGTACCTTGCAAAACTTCTATCCAGGGTATATTTCTTGTACCTTTTATTCTGTAATTTGCTTCTGAATAGAAATGTTGTACCATTTTGATGAGTGTCTTTAATATCAGCACCTGGAGTCCTTCATTAGGGCAAGAATACCAAGCATCACATCTTTGATTAACAAGAACATTGATGAACTTGAATCTGAGATGGACCATCTTGGTAGGCCTATTGGTGGTGATGCTGGGGTTAGTGGCTTTTTCTCCCTATTGTTATTTATGGATGTGACTCTTTATGTGTTTTGAGTTTTTTTTTTTTTTTTTTTTTGGTTTCCAGGCTCAATTGTACACTATTTTGGAACTATGCCGTGCTTTTGACCGTATATTTAAGGAGCACCTTGATGGAGGGTAAGGATAACTTTTTCTCCCCTGTTGTTATACATAATTTAATCCTCAAGCTTTGTATTAGCGGTAAGTTGTTCTTGTATGTTCAACTCTATTTGGAGATTTATGTTGTCATTGGTCATCGTGAATCATGAACGACAATGAAACTCTTATATTGTAGGAGTTCTTTTACCAATTATGTTTGTAACTGAATTCACCAATTAAAAAGGGAAATGAAAAGGTTAAAAATTCAACATAGTGAAAAAAACCCATGCATGTAAGCATGCTTATGAGATTTTAGAAAGAAAGCTTAGATGTTACAAAACTAATGTTTTAAATGTGTGAAGAAACTTATCTAGGAAAAGTGGATACTCCTATGGCACATTCAGTTTTATCTTGAGTACCAGATCCCAATTTGACCTCCTCCCAGGTGCAATAGGATTGCTGCATGATCGTTTTGTTTGACAGCAGGCATTGACTTTTTCTAATCTGGTCAACATATTGGTGGAACATGGACCCTGACTTGGATTGCAAGCTCATTGCCCTTAATTCCTTGGTTTTAGGGGCCTTTCTTTAGTTTGAAAAAGTTACCAAGGGTTTATGATTTCATAAGCCATGATAGTGAATTTTATTATCCTGCTTTTTCTACAGTGATTAGGTTTAAACCCTAGCTTTACTAATGCTTGTGTATTTGTTTGTTTCTTTCAGTCGACCTGGAGGCGATCGGATTTATGGAGTATTTGACAATCAACTTCCTGCTGCTCTGAGGAAGCTTCCATTTGATAGGCATCTTTCTCTACAGAGTGTGAGGAAGATTGTCTCAGAGGCTGATGGCTACCAACCTCACTTGATTGCACCTGAGCAAGGTTATCGGAGACTTATTGAGGGGCCTTAAATTATTTTAGGGGCCCAGCTGAAGCTTCAGTTGATGCTGTGAGTAGCTTTGCTTACTTCCACAGGCGCCCCCCCCCCCCCCACCCCCCCAAAAAAAAGGAAAAAAGAAAAAGAAGAAAGAAAAAATTGCAATTGAATGTGTGACTGACACAATATTCTTTAAAACATAGGTTCACTTTGTTTTGAAGGAACTTGTTAGAAAATCAATTGGAGAAACTCAGGTGAACCCCCATCAGGCTTAGTTACATTCTTTTTACTTTTCAATGAAAGATGCGTAGAGCTCTTGTTTAGGCAAAGCATGTTTATATATTGTTTTTGTGATGAGAAAGGAGTTGAGGCGGTTTCCTACCCTGCAAGCTGAAATAGCGGGTGCTGCTGGTGAATCCTTGGAAAGGTTTCGTGAGGACAGTAAGAAGACAGTTCTGAGAATGGTCGATATGGAGTCTTCTTACCTGACAGTGGATTTCTTCAGGAAACTGCCCAGGAGGTAGAGAAAGGGGGGAACCCTGCTGTCACAAATGTGGATCGCTACACAGAGGGGCACTACAGGAGGATAGCATTGAATGTGTCTTCTTATGTGAACATGGTGTCTGAAACACTCAGGAACACCATTCCCAAGGCAGTGGTTTTTTGCCAGGTGAAGGAGGCTAAACACTCGTTGCTCAATCACTTCTACACACAAATTGGCAGGAAAGAGGTAATCGCTATCACCTTTTTGTTTGTATATGCATGCATATAGAAGAAAATTTTTTTACTAGTTGATATAATACCAATTGATGTAGAATGATCCAAATAGTAGCTTATTCATCCTTGAACCAAATTTTGGATTCTATGGAGCAATTGATATAACACACTAGAGGAATAGTGTTTCCTGGTAACATGGTTTGCATCAATTTGGCTTCTTCAGGCTAAACAGCTTGCCCAGCTGTTGGATGAAGATCCAGCATTGATGGAGAGGAGGCAACAATGTGCAAAAAGGCTCGAACTGTACAAGGCTGCCAGAGACGAGATCGATTCTGTGTTATGGGTCAAATGAAGCTGACCAATACCTAGAGATGGTTTTGTACTATAATTATATAGTTTGTGTTGCATTCTTTTGATTGTTGAACTGTTGGATGATTCAGATTCTTGAAATTGTTTAATTTCTTTACTAGAATTGGGTGAGGATTCTGATTCTGGTTGTCTTTGCTTAGGTGCTACTAGGTGTCCTGTAAATCTGTAAAATCTGTTGCTTTCCATGTAGTATGTTAATTTTTATACACTTGCCTCATTCCGTCCCCCCCCCCCCCCTCTCTCTCTCTCTCTCTCCCTGTGCATATCTCCCTCCCTCCCTCCCTCTCTCTGCACGTTTCTGATTTTTATGCTAATGAAACTTGCATCTATTTTTTTTTTTTTTAATTCTAATAGTTCTCTGATCAGAGATGGACAAATTGATGGTCCATCAAAAAGGGGATCAGGATAAGAAGAGAACCTTCTTCCTCAAAATAACTATAAAATGGTCAGAAACTATATAATAGTTTTCTCGTGTTTAATATTTATTTATTCATAGTAGCTCAGATAACTTGCCAACAATTTGCTCTCTGGTTGTCCGATTTTTGCAAATTATATATCAAAGCAGTATATATGAATTTGCAGAAAATTATGAAACAATTATGAAAGGAGAAAAGCCGGCGAAATGTGAAAAAATTTATTGGATATTTAATATGTTCGGATGAAAATGAATGTACGGTGAAAAGAGAATAGATGGGAAAAAAATTATTTTTTTTAATATTCGGATGGCAACAAGAGAAAATATAAAAAATAAGAGTATTTTCATACTTCGATTTATATTACTATATTTTTAAAAATTATTTTTGTTTATCGGAAAAAGTTAATGACAGATTCTTATTCACCGCTTTAAAGAAAATAAAATTACTTTTAAAAAATTTATTTCTCATTATTTCTGGCCACTTACGAATTATGCAAAAGTTAATTTTTTATCCTTCTAATCATTTCTCTATCTACGGGCTCTCTGCAAGGCGAGGGCGAAAGGGGAGGCCGTAAAAGAACTGAAACAAACACTGAAGGCTAAGAGAGCCCAAGATCTTGCAACATTCCACTCATTCTCGAGAGAGAGAGTGCGGGACAAGGTTTGGCGATGATTGGCACCTCCAGTCTGTCACAGCTATGGCAGATTCCTTCGACCAAACTGCTGTTCGCTCGCTCCAAGTTCTCCAGAGGTTTTGTATTTGTGTCCATGGAGTTTTGGTTTGTTTTCTCAATAACTCGAATGCAGTACCCTCAAATTTGATAGAAGTATTTTTATTTGTTGTTTTAACGCTCTGTTAGGATTGCTTGTTTTTTCTCTTTCAAATTTCTAATTGTTGCAAAATTCATTTGCTCGGTTCTGCCTAAGTTGTTGTTTGAATCTTAACTATATGATTATAATTGCGCGGTTTCTCTCGTCTTTTCCTGTCTGGTTTTGGTTCTCTTCAATAGTATGCTTTTTAGTTTTGATTTGGACTTATAATCTTTACTCCAATTTTATTTTGTACAAGTAAGTTCATATTTCTCGCTTTTCGTTGCTGGAGTTGAGGACTAATTGTAAGATTAAATTCAAAATAATATACTTGAAGTTGGGCTGTTGAAGTTTTGAAATATGGAAAATGGCCTTAGCGAAGTAGGCATTTGTATTTGGCAATTCCTCGGTCTTTCTCTCTTTTCTGTTTCCTGTTCCTGTTCTTCCCCTTATTCGTCATATTTCCCCTTTTATTCATGCTTACTGTGAGCAATGTAAAGTTATTCTGGAAGGACATATCTCTACTGCTTGATTGATGGGATAATTAAGGACGACATAAGAAAACTAAAATGTTAAATTGTAAGCCTGATTCTGGATTGATGCAACTTTTGGTAAAGTTGGGGCAGCCTAGCAGAGTATTATGGTTAGGCCTAGTCAAGTCTTTGGTTTGTAGAAACCCAGGAAATTGAGAATTTTTGGTTTACACTATTTATATCTTGGCTCACTTGTTATCCCGTTTGGTTTCACATTGATATTTACCTGTCTTTTTGATGGATATGCTGTTTTAAGCTGCAGGCCAATATATGGTGCATGGAAGAAAAGCCTATCCAGTTCTGTGCCTTTGTAAGAACATGCAGACTACCACATATGAAATTGTGAATGGAAGCTATCTACCAACTGCCCAGACTAAAGAAAACAAAATAAAGGTGTTTCCTTTTGTAATTGTTAGTTACGAAAACTTTAAGCAATAGTTCATTTACCTTGTGTCGTGGCTTATCTTCTTCAACAGTTATTAGCTTGTTAATGCTCTGGATATCTACTTTAGTTGTACAGAAACTGGGGAATGCAGTGTACTTTTATGTGATTAATTTGAAATAAATAATAGTCTATATTTTATTTAATGTATTAAAATGAGATTGCTTTAAGGATACTGTTATTCTCTAACAGTATACTATATAAAAAATTCTATCCCTGCAATACCATGTTTGCCAGCATATAGAGATTAAAGCACCATGTTACCATTCCTGTTTCAAGTATTAGAACAATCCAAGCTCCTGGCAACATTGACAATCCAGATTGCAAGACATAAGAAAATGCTAACATGTGGTTCCTTCTCTTCCAATTCCAGCATAAAGCTTTAGCAGCAGAAGAATCTGTTGGAGCATTTCAAAAGCTACCCATGGTGATGCCGTCAGTTGATATTCTTTATTCAGCACTGAGGAAGGCAAGAAGGGTCTCACCCACAAAAGGTAATTGGTCCCTTCAATCTTCAGAGCTGAATTCTGTTTGGTGTCGGGTGGATCGAAACTTGTTTATAAAACCAACAGCTAAGCTAACCTTGATTTTTAGTTTGTGCCTTTTGTAGGGATTGCCAATGCAGCCAAGCGCGAGAGAAATAAAGGTGCAAAGCAACTTGATGCATTGATGAAGGTGAACTGCTGAATCGAATATGATCTAAAGTATGATGTCCATACCCATCTCTAGGCACACATATACATCTGTGATGTTAGGCATCTAGGGGGCACTCATCAATGACCAGGGGCTCATGGTGCCAGTTTAGGGAAAAAAAATTATTGGGAGCAAGAAAAGAACTATTACTTATTTGTTAAGGGATAGAAGTTCTAAAAAAATATTAGGACACATGTTTCCACTTCTTTCCCAACATCTTGCATAAACAATAATGTAACATTTTTAAGATTTTTTTTTTTGTTTACAAAATCACATATGAACATGTTTACCCTGTGTGTGATTTATAGAGTTCTTTTCTGGTGCATAGAGCTGATCTTGGGGCCTTTTCTGTCTCATTTTCTTTCTTTCTTTCTTTCTTCTTCTATAGGAATTGGCTGTTCCTTTAAGGATGTACAAGGAGAACTTCCCAAATAAAAAACATTTGCACCCTTATGAACGGTCTCTTATTGAATTGACTCTTGGAGATGGAAATTACGAAGAGGTAAATGAAATATTTTAGTTTGCTTCTACTAATTTGGATTTCCTGGGAACTTTTTATTAGTATTTGCCCTTGAGGGACCCATTTTTTGTTTTGTTTTTGTGTTGTTACTTGGGTGATAATGTAGCATTACGAGTATGACTACCCTTTGACCCAGTTGGTTGTAGGGGTGTTCATGGGTTTGGTTCGGTTCAGTTTTGGACCTAAACCAAACCGAACTGAACGTGTCGGTTTTGGTTTTTATTGGACATGATCGTTTTTTTTTTTTTTTTTCGAAAAACCGAACCAAACCAAAATATATATATAATACAAATATAAAGATATATAATATAATATATACATCTAAATAAGTATATTTAAATACAATATAAATATATATATATATATAATATATAATATATATATTAATAAATAGAATCGGTTTTGGTTTGGTTTATTTTGAGACGAAACCGAAACCGAACCGAACCGAACCGATCGGTTCATGGGACCTTATAACCAAATTAAATTGATTCCCTTTGGTTTGGTTCGGTCCAATCGGTCCGGTTCGGTTTTGAACACCCCTAGTTGGTTGGTTATTTGGCCAAAAGAAGGGAATAATAAGGTTACATCACTAGAAGTATATAAAATTATTCCCTTTTAGGATAATGTTACTTTGAAGCTCAAATGAATTAAATTTTTTGCTTACTAAAATTATAAACGAAAATATGGATGTGGAAAACCAGTACATTCTCATTTTCTTCACCATTGATGCCATTTTTTGATTTATCTCAGTGGTCGCTCGGCCATTGGACTTGGGCTGGAAAGCCATGAACTGTCCCTTACTTTGCTCAACTAAATTTCTCTAGAATTTGATGCAAGTTGATCCCCAATCACTCCAAACCTTCCGTGCTGTATACAAATAAAACTGGGCTGACCTAACTAGCATGTAAGCATAAAAATATGGCTACAATTAATTCATTGTAGTGATTTTTTATTGGATGTAAACAGTATTCTTTATTTTGAAAAAAAGTACTCTGAAAGTGTACTTGTATTTCATAAAGATGTTTGTAAAAATGTCTCTATTGTTTGAAAGAATATTATTAAAAACTAAATGAACATAAAATCTTTGTTTACATAACTGTGTCCTAGATGTGATATTTAATATTGTAAAGATATTTATTGAATGAAATGTATCATTGGGTTGGGAGTGTGTGGTATATAGTATTTCCTTCTAGTCACATCAGCAGTGGAATTTCCCCCAAACTTACATAAAATTGATAAGTCACTTCTCTAAACCGAACCCACCTGTGTCAAGGATTTGTTTCCCAGAAAGGAGTTTTCATGTCAAGAATCTTAGCTAGCTTACCTTAATATTTCAAGTTACTTTTGATTATATTTTGCCCTTGCTTCCTATCATGCATGTATGAAATGCTTATATGTGGATTAAGGACTCACTTATGGTTGATAGGTATTGGGGAAAGTTGATGCTTTAAGGAAGAAGGTGATTTCTGTGGGAAAGGAGCATGCTTCGCTTTGTGCTAAGGTTAGTCTGGCTCTTCCTAGCCTTGTAACTGTTTTTATCACTTGTGATTTTCTAGAAACTACTCTTGATTGTTTATATATGAATAACCAGCAACACAATGAAATCTATTTTAATTCAAGCTTCTTGAGAACCTCCCAATTTTCAAAAAGAACTGAATCCCTTCTTTGGTAACGCTATAGGATTGGGACTGCACTAGACTATTTTGTGAGACTGGGGAATGATGGGATTAAGTTTGGGTCCACAGGATTCGATTGGATAGGATTGAAGTGATTGGATTGGCTGGGATTGTAGAGTGATGGGATTACAAAGAGTGTGTGTTTGACAACACTTGAGATTAGTGGTGGGACAAAATAGGATAAGGTATTTTTATAAATTTTTATTCATGGATAGCTAACAAATGGGAGGACTCACTAATTTTAACTATTTATCGGTCCAGTGGCTGCATTCGCTCCACAGTCCCAGTTGTAATGAGTCCAATCTGGCAGGTGGATTTTGCCAATCCCGCATAAAGGAGCGCGCCGCGCCCCCACGCCTGACCTGGAACTCCCAAACTTAAGGTAGTGAGCTTGGGACATGGCTGAAACAAATATAAAACTGTTAAGTCCGGAGACTTACCAGTCCAATCCCACTCCTGAAACCTTGAATCAGAAAGGCACTTAAAAATCTATGAACATTGTATTTTTTGAGTACATTTCTGGTCATGAATTGCCTCTGCATCCATATGATTTTAGGTCATGTTGTCACCCTATTTACTTGTCATGCCCTGTTTGCAATTTGGTTTGTTTTCATTAATGAGATTTATAAAGAGGCTGTCACTAGGGATTTCTCGCCAAGCTTGGCTAGCTAATTAAGTGGTAATATAATGGTAAAATCTTAGTCTTTTGCCCTTGGAGATTTGGCAGGATTTTTGAGCTAAGTTGAAAGTTGAAACCTTTTCTTTTTCTTTTTTCTTTTTTTCATTTTTTATAGCAATCAGGGGAACTAGAGTATGTGAATCTTTAATTTCATGTTTATTATAGTGGCTCTGATTTTTCATTGACAGTTTTGCTTATTATCTTTTTATTGGTCCTATTCTTAAACTTAGAAGAAAGCACATCTTTACCATATTTCTCTATGTTCTCAACTATGTATTTACCTGAATAATTTGGTAGTCCACATCAAAGCGAGAAGCAGAAGAACGACTGAGTGAGGTTAGTTATTGTGTCACTGCAGAATATGACTGTTGATGACTTGGTTGGCATTCACGTGGTCCAGCAACCTAGAATGAGCATTTATTTCTGTATTACTTTGTAGGGAAGGGAGAAACTTGAAGAGGTTTTTCGTTGTGATGGAAAAGCTGTTGATGATTTATTAGATATTGCAAAGGTAATATACATCAAACCAACCCTCACCCCCCCCCCCCCCCCCAGCGGGCGGTTGGACATTAAATTGACTTGTGTTGTTGTAAAATGTTAAAATAAGCAAATGAAAAAGAATTCACCATGGTCTTGCACCCTTGCGTAACTGAGGGTTTAGAAAGCTTTATGGGGTTAAGTACATGCATCTTATATTAACATTTTGCTTTATACAAGTCATAGTTGTAGTAAAACCACAATATCTTTCTCTGTATTCTCGATGAAAGTTAATTCACCTTTTTGTACCCCCTGATATCACCTTGAAACTGCAGCACTCTTTTAACTGGAGCACATTTGGTCTTCGTTGTACATGTTTAAATCATGTTGGCATATCTGTACTCATTTTGTTCTTATCAATTACTTCTTTAATCATCTCATAAATGTGCTATTTCTGGTTCTAATTTGTAAAGTTGACAGAGGTTCATTTAATCTGCTTCCTTTCAGCTAGGTCTATTTTGTTGACATATTAAGTTTTTAATTGTCTAACAATCTTCTTTAGACGTTACGGCTGCTCGTCTTCTAAGTTGTCCTTTTATTCTAAGAGGCACCATTGATTGCCCCTAAGATCCTCAAAGCACCTTCAGTCCATCCTGTTTTAGTTTTGAGAGTAACGTTTGCTCCCATCTCTTTTTCCATATCTCTGAGTTTCGATGTTGAAGATGTTTACTTCTTGGTCTTTCTTGGTTGTGAATGCTTCTATTCCATCAGCTATGCCTTTAAGGATTCTTCTTAACTAATCGATTTTAAAGTTTATTCCACTGTTCTAATATAGATTTTACTTAATGTCTGTTTCATCTACTAGAGTACTATCTTCTACAAAAATATGTGAAGAGTGGGGTTTTATCCCATACATTCTAATTAATGAAAAAATGAGGGCTTAATGTAAAATTTGACATAAACTTATGATGACAAAATAATCAAGCTGCTTCCTTTGAAGTCATAATTCCATCATAAACATCTATTGTAATTTTAAAATATCCATTGTGGCACCTGTTCTTTTGTATGCTTCACTTTGTCAAATCTTTAGCCACTCGTGTTTTAATTTTGAATATTGCAACTTGCAGTTATAAATATAAATTGATTATTTATCACTCTTGTTTTAGTCTATAACCGTTATACAACTAAACTTCTCATAACATCATGCTATGACTCATATTTTTAATGACCTTGTAATTTGTGTGATATTGAATACTCTTATTTAAATATATAGATACTAAAACTATTTGCTCTACTGTGTAGCATTTCTTAATGCTTTACGGAAGATAATTTTAATAAAAACCTAAATCTCATGGGGGCTTCAAACTTGAAACTTCAAACTTCAGTGGGGACGGCATTGTCCTAAAGGTCTTTCTTTCCTTTTTTTTTTTTCCTTATTCGCTATGCTTATGTTCTAAAAAATTCCTTTCTTCATTTTGTCTTGATTGGGTGCTTTTAGTGAGCCATCTTATAGAATACGTTTGTCATAAGTGCCATTGGTTTCTGAATTTTTAATATGCATACAGATTCTGCGTGCAATGCCAGTGGTGGATTTGGAAACACCTACCCTTTGTCTTGTTGGAGCTCCTAATGTGGGGAAATCATCTCTGGTCCGGATACTTTCAACGGGGAAGCCTGAGGTTTGTGGATACATATATATGTATTTGTTATCATTCTTAAAAGTATCCAAAGAAGATGATTAGCTAGAAAGCTAGGATGTATCTTCTATATTAACCAATAAACAATTCCCTATCTTGAGAGTTCAGACTTGTAAGTCTAGATGGGGCTAAACATGCTTTTATGGTTTTAACCATATAGTCAATATTACATTATAAGCTTTGGTTGACAAGCTTGAGAACATGGTCTCAAAACTGAGCCATTATTGAACTTCAAAAGAAAAAGTAATTTTCTCTTAAACCTACCGCTTCTGTCTCCACATCCTCAGAGCGGTTCAAGTCGCTCCCAATGCACCTTTTCAAACAAATAAGGGTAACCATCTGTTCTGTACTTACCTTGTCCAGTTGAGTTAACTCCCACTACAGCCCACTCTCATAAAAACTAAAGGACCAAAACTTTTATAAACCATCATAGTTAGTAATGACAGACCTGTTGATTTTTTTGCTTGCTTTTATCAATAGTGAGAACCAAGTGCATGGTTGTAGTCCAACAAAGGAAGAGAACTAGGTTGTAGGTGCATACCAAATTCTAATACTTGAATGGAGTGGTCATCAAAATTTAACAAATGATCTTGTCCTCTGATCTGGGGCTGTAATTGGTTAGATATGTTCAATTTACTTTTCTATAATATTTGAACTAACCTGCACTCTGTCGGTTTTCTTATTAATAAAAATAAAAACTGGAACATTTAATAAAAGAACTGAACCGATTTTGAAGTTAAAGGACTTGGACTTTGAATCTCATAGTGAAACCAGTTGAAAAGAATTTACCCCTTTTATCAGGGAGCAAAGGAAACACGACATTTTCCTAATTAAGAAGACTCACACTCTAAAGATGACACATGATTGAGGCTATGAATGTGGTCCTTAAAGTTACTGATTTTCCATGGTATTGAATTAAAATATGATTGACTTTTGATTTGTTGTTCTAAAGTTCTGTTTATTAATTTATGTTAATCTGGGTTCTGCCTGGAGTTAGATCTGCAACTACCCATTTACGACTCGAGGAATTCTAATGGGTCACATTGCTTTCAGCTACCAGAATTTCCAGGTAAGCTACTCTCTGGAAAAGTCAAATTTAATAGTATGAAAATCTTCCTTTTGTGATTTGGTTTACATTTAAAGTACTGACTGCAGGTGACAGACACACCTGCCTACTGAGGAGACATGATGGTAAGATATTTGTGATACTATACCTTGTATTTTTTAATTAGCATGTTGGGCAAATTGTCTTTTTTTCTATTCTTGTCCAAATGTGATGGTAAGATCTTAGGATGCTACTTTTTTTTCCCTAAATGTTAGGACAGATTTAGGTTTTAATTGTTAGGATGGTATTTTGAGGATCCTTGTTTGGATATGTGTTTATTGTGGATTGAATTCTCTTCTATAGTTCTACTATATTATCTGTTCTCATGGGTTTTTGTTAACATGATATTGGACCTTTCATGTTATAAGCCCCTACAGTAGCCCTTTCCTGTTCCCAGAGCTTGGTTTTTGAGTTGTCTATGTAGATGCAGCTGGGGTGGGTGGCTTATCTAGCTCTTGTGGCAAGAATTCGTTCACGGGGTTCTGCAAATAATTCTCTCTGCCGTAACCTTTTTTCAGTTCTCTGCCACTCTTCATGTTTAAATTTGCAGATGACAGGAATAATTTGGAAAAGTTAACACTTGCTGTCCTGTCTCATTTGCCGACTGCAGTATTATATGTTCATGATCTTTCTGGAGAATGTGGAACCTCGCCTTCGGATCAGGTATTTGCCCATTTGTCTGCGTAAATGACTTTAACCTCTCTTCATTATCAAACTACAAGGAACTCCCTTAACCTTTTCAAAAGGGGTATTTTTTAGGCATTTTGAAAAATTTTTAAACTAGTTTTCAGCACTCCATATAAATTAATGAAAACATGGAACCTTCCAAATTCCAACAGATTGTGAAGGTTGTATGGCTGCTTAAAGATTCCCAAGTTCAGTTTTATATTTCCGTGATATTGGGTTCTTGACCTAATAGTTCATGTAATTTGTCCCTCCTAGTTTCATGATATGAACATTTTCAATATTCTGTGGATAGCGGAAGGATTTATTCCTCTGTTATAATATTGATATGAAAATATCTTGTTTTAACTTTTGACATTTCTTCTATCCTTCACCGACTTTAACCCAAGTAATTTTTGGGACTTTGATATTGGATGATGCAGTACATCATATACAAGGAAATAAAAGAAAGATTCAGTGACCATCTTTGGCTTGATGTTGTTTCTAAATGTGATCTGCTCCAAGAATCTCCAGTTGTTTTTATAACCGAAGATACAAATGCTGATAATCCTGAGCTGGCAAAGTACCGGAGAATGGGACCTGACGGAGCCATCCCTGTCTCAGTAAAGAGTGAAGTTGGGCTCAATGAGGTTTGTCATTTTATGACCTGTTCTTCACTCAACTTGAATAAACAATGGAACGGAATAAAAATGAGTAGGAAAAAAGGGAAAAAAAGTAAAGAAATATGAATATCCTGTGCTCTTTGTAGTCCAACCACCATGGTTATAATTTGCCTTTTGATTACATATTTTGGTACTTTGTTCACCAGAATGAAATTTGATTTTCACTCTACCATGATTATTAAATTCTCACGCCCAGTGGCTTTCTAATTCTTGTGAAATCTAATGTGGAACAACTCTATATACTTTGCAGCTGAAGGCTAGAGTTCATGACCTTCTGGTTTCTCAAGCAGAGAGTATCAAAAGCCAAATGAGCACCGAAGAGGACCATGAAGTTGTTGGATGATCAATTGTAGTCTAATTATAACAGGATATACCCTTGTGGGAAAAATGATTGCCACTGATGGCGTTCAGCGTTATAAAAAGATGACCCAATAACATGGAGACAGAGTTGAAACCTGCTTGTTCATTCCAATACTTCAAATTACTTCATTGGCATCTTTAGTTTTTGGGATGGTGGCTTAGGCAAACTGTGCAGTTGATTCACTGACGGGGCATCGTCATGTTGAAGTGTAAGATTTCTTCTTATCAGAAGATTTGGCTAGTCAGATCCTAATGCATTTTCCTACAATTATGCATAAAAAGGATCAGGATATATCGCTTATTAATGGCCTTATCCTGGCATTGTAGCATTATTTGCGGTAGGGATAAATCATGAACACATAGAAGATCGAAGCATTGTGGCCTTTGATTTTCTCCATTTAATTTTATTACCAATAATATTTACTGTTCATTGCTATCCAGTTTGGACGATTCTCTTGATGTTGCAGCTTCGTGCGTTGTGGTGAAAACTTTTCTCAAGTAACATTTTATTCCATCACAAGCTTGGTGACGAGGAGCGTTATATATGACTTTTATCTTGGTTTTCTGATCTTCAAATTACTTTCATCAGAGGTTTTAGAAATTTGGCCTTGTCAATTAAGGTGCATCCACGTTCGATGAGAAAAATAATGGTTACAAAGTCAATGTGGTGCAAGAATTTTGATATGTATTCTTAATTTTATGAACACGAGTAGAACCCATACTTGTTTATGTAGTATGGTATCCTAAACCACTCAGAACTCGAAAAAACATAAATCTATTAGGACCGTAATTAACAAGTCAGTTGAATATAACTCTAATTACAAAAAAAAAAAAAAGCACTTCAAAAAAATTTAGAAGGGGTGATTTATCAGCATGTGATTTTGCTTCCATCGTTTTTTGTATTATATTTGACAAGCATGTGTACGACGAGGTCTGTGCTTGGGGTGCAAACCTTGTGTCTTCTCTGGGAATGGGGATGCCATCGTCTTGATGTGGGTCAAACCAAAGTGACAATGCACTGCAGCGCTGCATTACGCCTGATGGTACAGCGTAGGTGCATTCTCGATATGATCTCGATGTCGAGTTAACACCTTGCGGTCACTGTAGTTAATGACTCTAAAAAAGGTGGCATCTCTTTATTCTAGTTTTCCAGAAATTTTTGATCTCATTCTGGGATCTTTCGGATAGCTTAAAGAATTCAAAGCAAAGAAGGATTACAAAAAGGTGATCCAGTTTCTTGGATTGTTGGCTCTTAAATTCACAAATAATTTTTTTTTAAAAAAAAACCCAAATTCGGGATAGAACAAGTTTTATAGGTTTCAAGGAGCAAATTTACAAAATAATTTTTTTAAAAAAAAAATCTGAACATAAAAGTCATAAGAAAAAATTCAAGATACAAAAAAACCCCCATAGAATCTGTTAGTACAGGGTAGGGAAACTCACGGCGAGACGAAACTTCTACACAGTCAAACAGTAAATTTTATGTTTGTTTTACTTGTGTCATAAAAAAATGAAGTGGAAGTGGGAGAACAGGAGGGGAATAAAGAGTGAGAGAGTAGAATGTTGCCAAAATATATAATTATTTTTATAATCATGGAATTTATATTTACATTTTTTTAAGAAAAAAAGCCATTCCAACTCTTTATTCCACTCCCTACTCTTCCACTCGCGCTCTTTATTTCTTGTAAACATAAATAAAATAAACATAACCATTATCAAACATAACCTAAATAGGGTTATTTTAACAATGATCAAGGCTGCTAAAAGCTGTAAAGAGCTTCGATAACAGTCAAAATAACAAAGGTGCAAGATGAGTTGGGTTATAAAGCCAGTCTGGCATGCGGTGACTTGGTGCCGTGATGACTGGTGGCACATGAGCAAACAGGTGGTGAGGAGCGTGGGACGCACGTGACACGAATTGTAATAAACTACATGCAAGGAACCACGTGTTAAAAATTGACAGATTACATTCAACTAACACGTGTTCGGCGCTAAATGGTTCGAGGCCGTAATTATAATAATAATGTATCCGCCAACCCTTCTTAAATGCACGTAATAAATAATTAATTGCTTTCTATGTTCTTGCAAAATGATATTATTATTGTAGGGAATTTTTTATTTTTTTATTTTTATTTTTGGGTCAAGGTGACGTTTCAAGCTCTAATTGCCACCCGCCCGCAGCAGCTACGGCTGGGGGGCCCATCCAGGTTCGTTGGGCCTGACCTGCCTTCCAAAGCGGCCTGGGCAGGCCTAGAACACACTAGGCTCAATAAATAATATAATTAAAATGATTGATGAGTTAAATTTAAATTAAATTAGATAATATAAATTTAAATTTAATTAATTATTTTTATATTAAAAAAATAATATTCTTTTATACTAGTTCTCTCAATTTTATTTATTAATTATATTTATTTTTAAATTTTTAATTTTTTCAATTTAGTTCGTTGAAATTTTAAATTTATTAATATTATATTATAAAATTATTAATTTAAATTTAAAAATATTATTAAAATATATATTCTGATCATTTGGTGAATTAGATTACTTAATTCTATATCTAATTTATTATTTTATATTATGAATATTTATTATGAGATACGATCTATTGAATATTTTAATTAAATTCTAATCTTAAATTTTAAATCAAATCTAAATTAAAATTTAACGCAATAATAGTTCGAATTCTAATTATCAATAAAGATTATCTCGTCTAAAATAGAAAAACTCCTTGTTTTTTACTTTTTGTTTAAAAAAAGGGGAAAGTTTGAATCTATGCGATTGCAGGCTAGCATGGCATTTGAATTTGAAGAATAAATTAAAAGAAAGCAACTTTATTTTATCAAGGAACAAATTTGAGATACGGATTCCCCTGAGGTGAAGGGTATATCTTATAGAATTGGTTCCTTATATTTCTTCCTTGTCAAGCATTTCCACCTGAACTAAACCAATTGATACTTGCTTTTGGGTTAGGAGACTATGTCCATCGGTCCATGTTTTCCTGGCCATCACCTGCACACCACGTGGCTACATTTATTTTTCCCTTTTTTAAAAAAAAAATTTGAAGATCATAAATATCCAATATATAATTGTGTTAAAAATTGCCGCAGTGCTACTTTGCTTCTTTCTAAACATCTTCCAAAGGGTGGCCTAACTGGCTTCATATGCAAGTCGTTTTATGTTCTCCTTTTCCCCCCAAATAAGTTAAAATAAATAAGCTCCCTAAAGTTCTAATTAGGTCTAGTAGGAAAGAATCCAAGGTTCGGTGGATCTTTCAGAAATTTAAGTTTCATTATTCTCTCTGACAAGCTGGCAAGCTATTTGGATGCTAAGCAGTCAAATGTTCTTTAAAAATTAATATTAAATAAATCACTCAGACGTAGTAGAAACTTGAAGTTAATTTTATTTATTTTTAATATCTCGTGTATTTCAAAAATACTTGAAAACTTTTTTAAAAATCAACTCCTATAATATATAACTTTGATTTGATAAGCTTATATATATATATATATATATACACATACACTAAAATTTAAACAAAAAATTAATTTTTTTCTCACATTTACTTTGACAAAGTATTATCACTCCCTTTTTCTTATCCTGAATTTTTTTTAATATTTTCTGATTTCAAAAATAAATAAATAAATTATTATATATATATACATATTGTCGAACTTTTATTATAAAAAAGACACAACTTTAAAGATTCGTGTAAGAATTGGACAACTGGAGAGAGAGAGAGAAAGAAAGATATTTATTTTAATTTAATTTAAATCTGTAACATTATTATCATTAATTTTCTGTTGTCCATTAATCATCCAAAATTATTGTTAATTATCATTAATTTTGGTTGAATTAAAAAACTTTAGAAAGTGAGAAATCTAATTGCACAAATAAATAAAATTAATAAACCAAAATTTTTCGGTCAGTAAATTGGCGGACTTTTATGGGCTCAAATTTTCTTAAATTTTATAATTAAGACATTATTAATAAGTCATAAACAGGGGTTGGAGACGATCCGGCGGGTTTAACTTCAACCGTGCAGATTACGCGTCTTCGTTACTTTTCTCCAACCGACCGCAACTCAATGCTCAATTCTTTCCTACAAAGTAGAGCCCAACCATTTAATGCACACCCTCTATATAAGTGGCGCCCGACGGGCGGGCTCTTTGTGCGTTGTCAGCTTCCTCAGATCTGATTTTCCCTCTCTCTCATTTGCACTTTCAGGTGAGCTTCCCGGATCTTGCTCCACCAGTTTCTAATTTGCTGATCTGGTCTTGCTTTGCTCTGTGTTCTGTTCGTCTCGCACTGGATTCGATTGCTCAATTCGTGTCCAATTTCAATCTGCCATTTATCAGCCTGATTGGTGATTTCGCGCTTGTCTATTCATTTGATGTTTCCTTTTTTGGATGAACCAGATCTCCTGTTTTTTATCAAGTTGCACCTTGAATTGGTTTCTACTGTTAATTTGCTTCCGTGTTAGACGTATTTAACGGATATACATGCGGAGTTTTGATATCAACCAACATGCATATATGCCATAAGGTTGGAGGGCGTTTTGATGGGTCTATTTGCTTGATTAGTGGACTTGAGAAGAATTAATTCTGTTTTCTAAGTTTCAAGTAACAGTGATATGAGCGTTGGTTGTTGATCAATATGAGAGCATACTGTTACCTTTATTGAAAACACCGTCTTAAATTATCCCGCGTTGCATTGCGGTTTGCTGGTCATTACATATTATTTGGACAGTTCATATCGTTCTTGTCGCTGAATGAAACTCTGTACATCTAGTTTCGTGGCTGACTCTCGTTCTAGTTTTACTCAGCCGCTTGGATTATGGCTTTTATGTTATTAGCTTTCTGTATTTTCGTTCTATGTAAAGCTGCATCAAAATTGGATATTATCATGCTGAATTTACTTAACTTGGGATATCCACTTTGACGTTACATTAGTTGGCCAATCTAGCTGATTTTGTTTAAGCTGTTGATTACGTTGTCAGGCACTATTAGTGGTCGCTTTCTTCCCTTTTTGTTTCATTTATTTGATGGAGTGCATCCACAGTCATCAATTGAAGGATATTCATGCTGTGGATTAATTCTAAGCCACATATAATCCAACATAATAATGAGGAGAAAAAAAAATTCAGCTTGTTGGTATTTGCCTCAAGCTCAAGCTCTTCTAGATCTTGACTCACTTCTTCTGTTTGTCTTTAACTGATCCATCCTTTTTTCTTTTGTGAAATTTATTTGTGCCGGACAACAGCTTCCTACTCAAATGTTATTGCAAACCTCAGACATGGAATTACTTTTTCATTTTTTTTTCTTTACCTTGCAGAAAAAGCCTAAATGACTGCAACCAATTTGTTTGTAAAAAAAAAAAAAAAAGAAGAAGAAGAAGAAGAAGAAGAAGAAGAAAAAGGCCTTGTCGATTCTTTATTGTTTGTTTCTTATTCTTGGTCATTTGTGCAGAATATATTCTACAAATTAAGCCTAACTCATGGGGACTGCTGCTGATGCTGCAAACCAGGTACTTTTTCCCCAATTTCTACTCTTCTGCAACAAAATCAGTAAAGTTCTTCTGGAAAGTTTAATCAACCTTAAATACAAAGAAGGCTTGCGATAACAAATTTATACTCTCAAACCTTTGTCAAGCCATGATTTCATAAATTCTGATAATAAAGTTCTTGACATTGACTGTTTGCTTTTGTCCACCTCGGACATAATAATAATTGTGATTTTCTCAGTATTTTCGACTAGATTATCTGCTTCTTGCTGTGTTTCTACGGCTTTCTAAAGTCTTTGTTATTAAAGAAGCTTTTATTGATTATTTGAGTTGTAAGAAAAAATTTATATTTCTACTATATCCAAGGCCAGTAGAGTATCAGCAATCTTTGCCAGTTCAAGTAGTATTTTCTGTTCCCTTAGGCATGAATGTTGTCAAATAAATCTGACCTGATCCACTCATAGAAGTTACATGTGATTTTCTATCTAATACATTTAAGCTGCTTGACCTATACAATTGATTCTGTGTTGGATCTGACAAATATGCTGATTGTAGGAAGCAAATGGAAGCTTGCTAACTGAGAAGAAGGTCACTGTTGTCTTTGTCCTGGGTAAGTCCTCCCATGTGTGATTATTGCTTTCTTGTTGATTGAACTGGAACCATACTACTAATATCAAATTTGACCTCAAGAATACCCAAAAATTTTCTATTTGTGTCAGGTATATATTTAAGTTATTTTGTTGACATGTGGCTGATAATTGTACAAATGATTTATCCGAGGGTAGAGTAATTCATAGTCCCTGAGGTATATTTGCAGTAGGAATTTTTACAAACATGGAAATGAACAAGTATCTTGCCTTGACTTATTTAAAGTAGTAAATATGAAATATGCAATGGATGTGGATCTTTTTTTCTATTACTCCATCCTTTTGTAGATATAATGTAATTTGGTTTTCGTGTTATCAGATATTAACTGAAGGTAGAACTTGACTAGTTACTTGTCAATGGTAAATATGCTCTAAAAAGTTATTGTGCAATTTGTGACTTACCAGTGACTTTCCCTATCATCTAACTTCAGATGGCATCTTGTCATATCATTCAAGTTTTACAATTACAGCATTGGATTCTGCAGAAATATCTGATTATAGTAGTTTGCATTAAGTTCGTGTGTAGCATCAGGCTCGTTTGGCCTTTTGTTTGTTCCCTGAATTCTATGGAAAAATCCATTGACATTTTCTTTTACTCTTGACAAATTATTATAGATTTTGTGTTTTAGCCTTTTTTTTCCCCCTCAACTGTTACATATTTTATCCTCTCCATGCCTTAACATGGATTAATTTACTCAAGGCACTTCAAAATCTGCCTTGTTTCCCTTTCTTGATATAGGGAAAAAATTAGTACTACGGTATCCAGAGCAATTTTGAAACGTGTGGTTAAGTGAATGAAACATTGTCTTCAATTTCTTACAGAACAGTGAAATACACTCTGGATAAAACATTAATTCAGTTTTACATTGGAGAATAAGAAAGATTTGTTACTATATTTTTCAACACCTTTAGGGTATGTTTGATACCTAGCTTTAGCTAAAGGTAAACCCAGCCTAAAGCAAGGTGGTGTTCTATAGAAGTTTAACATCCAAACCCCAGGAGGGTTGTTTAGATATACTCAGTGTTGTGTATTAAAGTTAAAAAAATGGTAAATTGGATATTTTATTTATAATTTAATTTTATACTTCTTATATAATTAAAAAACAAAACTTACTTAATGTAAACCCACTTGCTCCAAATCCACTTTCTTTAAACCTGCTATCAAACGAGCTCTTATGCCTTTAGACAAGCATACTTTTTCTTTTTTAATGTTGTTTCTTGCAAAGTCATTTAGAAGATGAATCCATGCCTTTTGAGTTTTGTTTTGAAATGGCTGGTATTACCCTCAGTAAAATCGTTTAATTTGATTTTTTTTTCCCCACCAAACCTTATCTTTATGTAGTATTATTCTTATTCTTCTTTTATCCTTCTTTTAGAGTGTTGTATATTTTATTTGCTTGAGGATTTAAGGACATTTTTTCAATCTAAGCTGATCCTTTGATCTTCGCTCATCCTTACAAACTGAACAGGTGGCCCAGGCAGTGGAAAGGGGACTCAATGTGCAAATATTGTGGAACATTTTGGCTACACCCATCTCAGTGCTGGTGATCTTCTCAGAGCTGAATAAAAATCTGGATCTGAAAATGGGTAAGTATCTTTGACAGGATGACTGGATAGGTTACTTGGTTACTCAAAGGGTCATTAGAACTTCCTTCTATGCAGTTATGTCATACATTATATATTACTGGTCATGCCTAATTGGTTACTCAAGAGTAAAATATTTTAAACCTAAGTGAATGGTAAGGTTCCTACTTTGCATCCGGAGGGTCATTGGGTTGAATCAGGGAACCAGCCTCTCTACAAAGCTGGGGTAGGACTGCATATATTTGGCAATCCTCCAACCCTCAAAAAGCGAGTAGCCTCATGAAATATGGACACCCTACTATAAACTACTTAAAACAAGGGCAAAATGAGGCTTTCAAGTTCGTGACATTTTCTTTAGTTATCATTTTCTCTTTCTTTTGACTTTATGCAAGTTTTTGGTAGAAACAAATAGTTTGTGCAAATAGCTTGAGATTTTTAGTGTTTATTCTTCTGCCTGTTCTCATTTGTTAATTGAACCTGAAGGGGTGCAAATTTCTTCTCTTGTACTGTTGAACATGTAGACCTATCACCAACATAATGGTTGTTAAAATGACAACCATTAGCTGTCAATTGCAGGAAAATTGTATTATCATGTCTTTTATTGCGGAGAAATGATTCTTATAGTAACAAATTGGCTTACATTTGTGGGCAGTATGTTCCTATAGACTTCTCCACTAATTCCAAAGGCCAATTGGTTATTATCAACCTTTTTGGTCTACTTCTGAGCAAATATATATTCTATATTTTTTGAAGTCAAACATAATTCCTTAAATTTTTGGTAAACGTGAACATTCAAGCATAAAGTCAATCCGTAAGCCTGATGTTTCTACAAGGTTCTTTCCCATTTATTACCGTGCTTCTAAATCCCTTGATGTCTAATACTTTTGTAGGACCATGATTCAGAACATGATTAAAGAGGGAAAAATAGTTCCTTCAGAGGTGACAATCAAGCTTCTTCAGCGAGCGATGCAGGAATCTGGCAATGACAAATTTCTTATTGATGGCTTTCCCCGGAATGAGGAAAACCGTGCTGCATTTGAGTCTGTTGTAAGTATTTAATGTATCTCTTATTCTCATATAAATCTTCATTCGTCTCACATGAGCTTTTGCTTGGGATAGCATGTTGAATATCATCCACCGTTGAAGCTCTTTGTGCATAATACTTGTAGTGTTGTGCTTATTATGAAACACTGATCATATGCAGACTGGTATTGAGCCAGAATACGTACTGTTTTTTGATTGCCCAGAAGAAGAAATGGAGAGAGACGTCTTTTGACTCGAAACCAGGTTAGACTAATATGATTTATTATTGCCTCTATATTTCTTATTTTTTTTCTGTTTCTTTTACCAATTTGGCCCAGCACGCACACATATATTGGTATTTGCATTTTTATGTTTAACCTTTGATTTTGTTTTCCCCTTTTTTTCTGGGTAATAAAGGGAAGAGAAGATGACAACATTGAAACAATAAGGAAGCGGTTTAAGGTTTACATGGAATCTAGCCTTCCTGTTATCGAATATTACAACTCTAAGGGAAGGTTAGAAAGGTAACCGACTTTTTATCTTTCATTCTAATAAAGTTCTGGGAGTTTGTTGGAAGCATTGATCTTCCTTCCACATTCAGATTGATGCAGCCAAGCCCATTGAAGAGGTCTTTGAAGCTGTGTGAAAACAGTTTTCAGCCCATCACATGAGAAGGTAAAGCGCCAACTTCCTCTTCATGGAACTTTAGTTGTTAGAGGTTCCCACTAGTTTGGATGAACCATAATGATTATGGCATAGGTCTATTAATGCTGTAACACAAGGTCTCCACACTCCTGATAAAAAACCTCTAAGCTTATGCAAATTTAGAAAGGAGTTAAATGTTACTGTTTTTGCGCACTCAGCAACACTAGTACTATGATCAGCATGATTAGCAAGAGTCAGGCTGCTTATCCATTTAATAAAAGGGACTAGAACAAGATATACTTGACTCCTTATCCAGTTTCTAATACAGTACAAAATATATGGTGAGGGATCATAAGCTGCTGCAGTAGGTGGGACTTTTGAAGAACTATTTCAGTAGTATTTTGGATGTATTGAAGGAGTCCAAAAGTGAACACAAAATTTTTCTTTTGTACAATAATTTAGCATGCTAGTGCTGCTAAATGTAAAAGTCAGTTACCTCTGTAAGAAACAAATCTTTTAGATACAAGCTTGAATTTGTTACGTGAATCCTGCATTCCTTTTTTTTTTTTTTTTCTGACTAGAAAAGTTAGTCGTTAATCCTTACATGGAATGCTGTTCTTTTGTTGCAGACTGCTAGGTTTTGCAACTCTATGCAGAAGATATAAAGTAATTCTAATTTGAGGTAAGCAAATGATTTTTCTACTGAGTTAAAATATTGTAACACTGATTTGTTTGAGAGGGTGTGGAGGATATCAAAGTAGTTCACAATACTTCTGTTTGATTAACATTTCCAGACAACTTTGCTTGGAAACATTCTTGGAACTAGATATCCGTTTAGATGCTCAGGAATGACTCAAAATCTTGATTTCAGTCATTACCAACGGTTGTTTGGGATTTTACTGAAGCTTATCATCCAATTATTATCCTGTCTAACTCCACTTTTTGGACAATCTATAGGTTGTAGGTGTAGTAATATGAAGTCGTGAAATTGTTAATGTGGCCCAAAATTGAATGTTTCTCCTTTGTTGGTGTGGCAAGTTTCTCTAATTAGATTTGTCATTCCCTCTCATTTGTGTGCCAGTCTAAATTTTCTAAGACATTGCATAATTCTATCCTCGTATATAATGTAATATTTCTTCATTTTAATATTCATACTTCATTAAAGGTTGAGAGCTCGTAAAGGATTTATTTCCCTTACTTCTGTATTTGCTATTCTTCATTCAAGTTATATTTAATGTACTTGTACAGGTTTATTCTTTTGGCTGCATATTATGGTGTACTTATTGGGAGCTTACAAGCATCATTTCTGGGCCATATTCTTATCCTGGAATGTTCGGTTTATGAACTAGTATTGTTTTTAGGAAACAGAATAGTTTCTGTATGAGGCTTACTCTTCACATAGCGTTGTTACCATGATTGCATTTTAGTAGAAGATTTATATTTACATAAAATTGCCATTCCCTTGCCTGATGGGCCTCACAATTATAGATTTTCCCCCTTTTCCATTAGATTTCTCAATCTTGTTTAATTCATCTCATCGCAACTCATGCCATGACTTTTTAGGCTTCTGGTAGCGGGTTTTTTTTTTTTTTGTGTCATACCAGTTCTCTGTTTTTATTTTTTATTTTTCTACGAAAATTTTGAATATACTTAGAAGTCTTCAAATTTTTAACTACTCTCTGCCCATGGAGGAGCTTTCCTTTTTCTTTTTCTTTGAGACATATTTGTGATGACTAACTTTTGCAGCTAGAAGACTTGAAAATGAATCGAAGTGTTGCTGACAAAAGAATCTACATAACTTCATCCAAGTGGTTAAAAATTGACCTGACATGTTAGATCTTTATAGCCACAAGTTGAGAAAATTATAAGCGTGGGTTGTAAAGCTTCGAAGGCCCCAATAGCATCGCTCTCCCTTCCCGTTCACAAATAATTACCTCTCTCTCACTAAATGATGAAATTATAGACATTCAAAAACACTATCAACTATGGTTAAACCAATCAAACAATTATAATGCCTTTCTCCTTGATGGTATCGAGAACTATCCAACGCCTCCCTTCTATCTGCTCCCTCCATAGTCTCGCAAGACATTGCAAACACATCTCCTTCTTTAGACCGATCAGCAATCGACTTCTTTGCAACCTACAGGCATTATTATCAGTAGATGAAGGCAAAGTGGTTGTCAAATCCTTGGCGTTCGTGGTAGTAACAGAGATATTAATTTGCTGGTTCCTGATACACCGTTTTTGCGCGGATGAAGAAGATTTCTAGTGGAACCTTCCCATGTACATATCCATTCTTTGTTTCCATTTCTTCAGTTGTAGGGATATGATTATGAAAATATCTACACAGGAATTTTGATGAATTTGAGATTAGCAAAGCCATCAATCAGAAAAATATTACAGGAAAGCCAGCAGTTTTAATGAATTGTACATATTTGACTGCCAACCAGGGGAGCCATACTGCTAGAATTTGATTAACCCAAGTTCATAATATGATCAATCTTAACCTGACTAGGAGTAATAAATAATTTACAGTACACCAATTTTGTCTCTAATTTTCCACAATTAATTCGCTGAAACTGATGAACATTCAAAGCCTGTGGAACTTCTAATCCCTGGACAGAGGGCAAACTATCGTCCACAATTTTTTTAGATATATGGACCACCAAATGCTTCTTTTGTTTGCGCTTGTTTGTTCTTATTCTCGCTAGAACGTGCTTATATCTTGTCTATATTTGAAAGTTTGTGAATGAAATGACTTGTTTTTCACAACAAAATTTGACACTTGTCAGGTAGGAATATATTGTGGAATAGTTATTTATTCAAAATAATTTATTCTCGTCAGGAAAAACATATAAATACAAGAGCGTGTGTTAGTGGTTGTAGGTCAATTACGTGGAATAATTTTAGTCCTTAACATTGATTGATGTTAAGTGCTTTGTTATAGTTATCACAATTGATGATGAGAGCTAATAAGCGAGGTTCTGAATTTTGATATTAAATTACAACATGGATTAACAGAAGGGTTGATTTATTTGATAAATATTAAGGCGAGGAATGGATTAATAATAAAAAATTACTGGTTTGCCATTATTAAACTTTTATATTGGGTTCAAAAATGATTTTTCCCTAAAATTAAAATAAAATTACAAATAATATTAACTGTGGGGTGCATGATCAATGCACAAAGTCAACGTTTTGGCAACCCAAAGGAGGCCAGTAAGGAAAGACTTTGAATTGAAGTGCAGTTAACCGTTGCTTAATGCGGACCTATACTTCGCGTTACTTCACAAGCCCACTTTCCCGGGGGTGTTAGCGTCAGTCAGCCGTGACTGACTGGCGTGCAACTCTCTTTGCCATTCTGCCACGTGAGTATAATGTACTGATTAATTAATTAATTAATTATTTATTTATTAATAAATAAAAAGACAAAAATACTCTTAACATATTATCATGTATAATTAAAAAAAAAAAACAATAACTCAAATTCTCGACTGCGAAAATCTCTCTCGACGTCTTCGTATATGCAAACTTTTACCATGAGAAATCGTTAAGAAATTTAAAATCTAGTATACAGTATTAGAGAATAGAAGCTGTGGAATGTGTGGCTTACAAATATTGGTGGTTCTAGTTGGCATAAAAATTCTTCTTCTTCTTGCAATAAAAACCATTCCCAACCATTTTTCGTCGCCTCTGGAAAGCATCTGTTATTGCTTCTTCTTCAATTGCTTCACAAGCGGGTGATCACTTGCAAGTCAAATGTTGTATCTTTTCTGGCAAGAGAATTCTGATAATATCTATTGTAGCTTTTCCAAGAATTTTGTTCCCACGACTACAAAAGCAGGCTATGTACCTTCCTAATATTGAGAGATAGTTTCATTTTGCAATGTAACTTTGTTGTAATTTTTTTTTCTTTGGCAACACCACTTGCGTCTTCTCCTTATGCTTCGATAGCTTCACTGCCATCTGGTTCCCCTAGGCCATCATTGGCTGGTTCCACTCCGTCTCTGTAGCCTACCGTACCGTTGCCGTCCGCATCAACATTTGAACTCGGTCAAACCCACTCGCTTCCACCACAACCCGACCTTAGATTTGGCTGTGCCACAGTTGAAGCTACCATTGCCGCTCTGCCACGGCCGAAACCCAAATTTCCTTGACGGATCTATCTGGAGATGATGATGCTGTAGCCGGCATAATGACAGGTGAAGACGAGGTGATGCTGATCAAAGTTTCAATCCTTACCAGCAGTTACATAGCGAAGACAAAGGTGAACTGGCCAGTGATGGCGTAGGGAACTAGACAACAGTGAAGGCGCTGGAGCATGAGAAGAGGCAGCTAGTGGTGTCACAGGAGATGAAGACAACAATGCCAATATTTGCAATCAAGTCTCTTAAAGTAAGGGTCTATTTTAGATTAAACATAACGTGGAGGACTTACAAAGTAAATTCCGTATTGTCCACATGTTCGTTTCCTATTGGTTCACATAAGAAAAGGTTTTAAAAGCCTGTATTTTGCTGTGACCTCAGGAGAATTCTGTAACTTAATAATATTATATAAAAAAATAAAAAAGACAATTTCGCCTTTACGTCTGGTAGTACATAAAAAAAAAAAAAGAACTGCTGTAGTTAAAAGAATAAAAAAAGCTGTACTCACAAAAAAAAAAATTAAGATTGTACCGCCCCAACGACTGAGATGAGTTGGTAAAGTTATCAACGGTTAAAAACTAAATGACCATCATTCATCTTGTACATTGAATGACCAATGCTAGAAAAGCGTACTTAACGAGCTTACCATTCTGAGGTTGTATTTGATTTTGGATACTGTGTCAGCGGAGTAGTAATCTGGCAGCTCAGTCAATGAATAATACTGTATAAGTATTTAAAATAAATTTATTTTATTTTTTTATTTTTTAAATTTTAAAAAATAAAATATAAAATAATTTAATTTTTCATATCATATTTATAATTTTTTAATTTATTTGATTAAATATAAAAAAAATAAAAAAATAAAAAAATATAAAATTATA